TGAGCTGGGATGCTCTCCTTGCGCGATCGTTGTTTCCCTGAACATTTCATACAACAAATCTTTTGCTTGCTCGACGAGCAGCTTAACGTTAGGTTTTTGACTGTATTCTTCCACCTCAGTCGGCAATGGTAGTTCAAACATATGATTATAATACAGGTTAAGATTATCCATCAATTCAATTTCACGTGCACTATGATCTAACAAACATGCAACTAAAAATGTATCAGGAATATAAAAATAATATTTTAACCATTTCTTTAACATTTCACTTACAAAATCTATATATTTAAAATAATCAAGTTTGTAAAGATCAGAGAAAGCCCACATGATGGCTATACATTGACTTAATACAAGCTGAGCAGTAGGATAATAAACACCCGAAAACATGGCAGTAGCATTTTGAAATGTTTCTAAAAAACTAATAAGTACCTTACAATTCTCCAAATCTGTTGTGGAGACCCGGACGTCACAATCCCTACGGTTTGGATCGTTAAAAAACTTCTCCAATACCGCCATATAAGGAACCGTGTCATTCAACAATTTATATGTTGAGTTCCATCGGTTCAAAACGTCGGGTTCAAATTTTTAGGTTTCACCTTTATTCTTACAAAATCATCCCCATGCTTTCATTTCTTGGGACTTTTATGTAAATAATTAAGAGCATTCCTAATTGGCGTGACTGAATCTTTAAAAGCATTATAACCAGCTTGTACACATAAAATCAAGACATGACAAATACAACGAATATGAAAAAATCTTCCCCCACAAATAGGTGTGCAAGTACTGTAAGTTCACGTATAGATGCAGCATTGACAGTAGCATTATCAAAAGAAATGGAAAAAAACTTTTTTATTAATTCTATATTTATCCAAAATTTTAGAAATTGAACGAGCAACATTAGATGCAGTGTGACGTTCATGAAATGTAATATAAGCAATTAAAAGTTTTTGCAAACTCCAAGTTTCATCAATCCAATGACAAGTAACTCCCAAATAGGAGTTAGTTTGCCAATGATCGTACCATATATCAGCACAAATAGATACTCTATGGTTCAAAGATTTAAAAGTTTCTTGCAAATTAATTTTTTTCGCTAACTGTTTTTCGAATATCGCGAATAAGAGTTGTACGTGGAATCCGGGTGGCAGCCGGATTCAAAGCCATTTGAGCAAAATGTTCATATAAATCACTATCACCAAAACAAAATGAATGAAGCGGAAACAAATTCAGCTAAGTGACGTCTATGATTTTCATGCGAGTAATGATAAAAAGAAGGCGTACATGTACCAGTCGTGGCGGATGCAGAGCTGCTACTGAGGAATTGCGTCTTGTGTCGTGTTGATTCCCAACGTATGCGAATGAAAACTCTTTAGGTGTCGGTTCAAGGATCCGTACCCTTCGCCTTTTTGAAATGATACTGCTTCTTGGAATTGGACGGACAATAGTTGCGAACTGCAAAAAAATGATTCGGACCTTTTTCTGGATTTGGAATCTTCTTGTAATATCGTTGGAAGATGGCGGACCTCGCTTTGCCACCCCCACCCGGACCACGACCATATACAGAGGATGGGTCGTGCCTGTCTGGCTGCGTCTCTTGCTCGGTCTCCTCCGGGCTCGTTCCAAATAGATCTTCTAAATGGTCGTGATAAGGTTGCTGCATGGGCTCTTCTTGCTGTTCAGACTGAACCGAGACAAACATGGCATCTATCGTTGCATCATCAATATCATTGTGGACAGCAAGAACATCCACATATATCGAAGGACTCGCAAATTCTGAAATTGGAGGTATGGAAGAAGACATGCCGACATTCTCCGTTTATTTCCGAAAGTCGAAACACGACCACCATCACGAGAAATTGACATTTTTAATATAAATAAAAAAAATAAAATATGGTGAAAGGATATGTAGAATAAAAAAATAATGTAGAATAAAAAAAAATATAAAATAAAAAATAATGTAGAATATAAAATATAAAATAAAAGATTTTTTTATATGTATATATATATATATTTTTTTTTTTGGTAACCGAGCTTTTAGGAAAATAAAAATTAAACAGATAATGAGAGAAAGAGAGAAGAGAAGAGAGCAAAGAGTAGAGAGATTAGAGAGAGATAGAAGAGAGATTGGTGTGGAAAATGAGGGGTATTTATAGGGAATTTTTTAAGTTTTTTATTTTTATCTTTATTTTTTTATTTTATCGATTTTTTGGTTTTTTTAACTTTTTTTTTATTTCGGGGCCCGCCGGGTCGGGCGAGTTAGGCATGCATGGGTCGTTGGATCTCAACGGCTATATTGATCCAACGGCAAATTATTATTAATTTTTTTTTTTCTGACCGTTGGGCCCGGTCCGGACCAGCCCGACCCGCGGCCCGGCGGGCCCTCGAATTTTCGGACTTCTTTTGGTAAGAATCAATCCTAAATCCTTTATTTTCTTTATTCTCTTCAAGATCTTTATTCCCTTCCCTGACGGCTCTTTTTGTCTGGCGCCAGCAGATAATGTCAGGCGGACGGGTCGGGCCGGGCCTACCCGGACCGACCTGTCCAATTAATAATAAAAAAAGGCAAAAAAAAAAAAAAAAATTGTAATTCCAGCGGGTCGGCCGCATGGGCCTTGTCCAGTTAATCGGCCCGTGCGATCTCGGGCCAGTGCTGATGTCGGTTCGGGCCGGTACCGGTTCGCGGTTTGGCCCGTGACCATTTCTACCCACGTACAACCATAAATAGATGTGTTCCTGTGGTAACTTGGAAAATATTTAGGTGGTTGAGTGGTCTACATCCTCTGTTTAATGTGGTGGTCATTTGTCCTATACAAAGGTCTTTAAGAACATTCAATCACTCTTTAAAATTTTGTACTTTGGGTTGGCAATATTCTGTTAGTGGTAGTTGGACAAGCACGGTTACCTACTCACCTTTAACATTTTTATTGCACTATCCAAACCTAGTTAAACTAGTAAACACCACGGGCAAAATGCATGGTAAATGCCAATTGTTTTTATTCCATTCATAATTTTATATATTAATCCAGATTTTTATATAATCCAAAATTCTAACCTTGATAATACAATGTTTGTGCTTCTTCTTTTATTTTTAATTAGTTTTAGTATTACTTAATTTGGTTTTAGATATAAATTTATGATATAATAACAACTTTAATTGATACATGCTAAAATTATATATGAAATGAACACAATTGGTTAAACTCATTGTGTATATGAATCTCAAAAAAATAATTAAGAAATGAAAAAGAAAACAGCAAAACGAATAAAGTCGAGGCACGTAAGATACGCTCTCCTTACGACGAAATAACCTCTTATATTATTATCCACGGTTTACTACTAACGCCTCCAAATAATTCAAATACACAAACCTTCCGGGTACAATACTAATGTTTCGAAACTTTCAAGATAGAAACGAATACAAAGAATACAAGATGATTTATGAACTTTTTGAAAGGATGAAAAGAACTCTTAAAAAGTTGATATCTTGAATGATTTCATGTGTCTGTGGGTATTTATAGAAGTAGGAAAACACTTTCAAGAAGTTTAAGTGTAAAAAAAGACAGCTTTGGGACGCGGTCGAACGAGTACGAACGCATTTAGAGGCCAAAAGACACCTTATGATCAACAAGAGTCGCGACCCCTCGCTAGCTCGTACGAGACTCAGAATCGCACGAGTTCCACTTTTTCTACTCGTCTCCAACGAACTGTTATAGAGTTCTAGCATGCAAACTACATGATTAAGTCTCGTTTGGATTTTCATAACACTCGTCAAGAACATAATATTTTGTGAATTCAATAATATTTGAGTTAATTAAACTCAATTATTTCAACCTTACATTACCCACATATACAACTCAGAATTATATTCTTTTTTTTTTATCGATAACTCAGAATTATTTTCACATTCACCTTAAAATAATTTGAGATTACGAAAAATGGAACCGTTAAGTCATCTATGGTGGTACGACATTAAAAGATTGCTTCAATATTTAAGGATCTAGAATGAAACAATCCTTTTCCATCACTCCAACTACTGGATAAAGTGTATTTACACCGTTGCTTCAATATTTAAGGATACAGATTGAAATTCTCCTTTTCCGTCACTCCATTCAATGTTTTTAAATCGGGGGCCCGGTAATTGATCCAGCCCAGCCTTCAAATAATTAATTCCCAGTTCAATCCTCAGTGTCATTGCTTAACCATATAATTATTTTTATAAATTTTAAAATTATACTCCCTCCAGTTCATTATATTTGTCGTTTTGGCATTTGAGTTCATTTACTAAATAATTGTCGTTTCAAGTCTTTCTTCAATGTTTTTCCATATTTACCCCCTCTACCTGATAAGCATCGTCTCTTCATATACTCTACTTCTCACATATTGGTTCACGTTTTTAATTTGAGTTAATGAGAGTATTATTAAAAAATAAATAATTCTTAATTACTGTGCAAAAAGCCAAAACGTCAAATAATTTGAATTGGAGGGAGTAGTATAGAGAAATGCTACGGTCCATCCTGTCGGATGTTTTAACCGTCAGATCCCCATGTAGTTAAATAAGATAGATGATCTAACGGTTAAAACACCCGACATGATGGTACCATAACGGAACCTTAGCATTTTCCTATAGTATACTATTTTTACCATATAAATATACATAACAATAATAAAAATAAATAATTTTTATGTAAATTTTACACCTTGAATTGTGAAATAATATTGTATCCCAAAATAAATTATATGAATGCAATAGGGGTATTATTGGAATTAAGATAAGCGAGGGCACAAATTAAGAGACAAATATTGCCAAATTGTACTAATTTGAATGTTTTATCATGGAAATTTAATGAGTGTCAAAATACACGTCGAATCTTTCCAAGATTCAAGAACTTGAGCTACCTTCTTTTTGTCGTCTCATAGTACTTTCATACGCCGTGATGCACTATATAAACAACTAAACAAGTCATTACACTCAATCACTAATTAATATGCACACACAATACAATATGGTTGCAAAAAGAAGCATCTCCACAATACTAATGTTCCCATATATTGCTCATGGTCATGTATTCCCCTTCTTCGAGCTAGCCAAGAAACTCTCCAAGAAAAACTTCCACATCTACTTTTGTTCCACCTCCGTCAATCTCGACTCCGTCCGGCAACACTTGGAAAACCTCCCGTCAAACGACGGTTGCGAAATCAACACCCTCTCGATAGAGCTGGTCGAGCTTCGTCTGCCGGCCCCACCCGAGCTGCCTCCCATCTACCACACGACGAAAAACGTACCGCCCCACCTCATGCAAACCCTAAAGGCAGCCTTCCATGCGTCGAGCTCGATTTTTTCCGACATACTCGCAATGCTTAACCCCGACTTGCTCATATTCGACTTGCTACAACCATGGTCCGCAAGGCTCGCCACATCGAAGGACATTCCCTCCGTCTATTTCCTCACGTCCGGCTCGGCCGGACTCTCGTTCGACCACCACCTCTTCTCATATGGGAAGTTCGACAATTTCCCATTCTTACCCTCCATATGCCTCAAGGACTACGAGTTGAAGGCCTCGATCGAGTCCGCCAAAGAATTCCCCCAAGACGTGGCCTTGGCCGATGATGAGGACGGGTTTATGTTCGGAGTCTTCCGATTATCCCACGACATCGTAATAGCCAAGACGTGTAGAGCGATCGAGAGCAAGTACATGGACTATCTCTCGTCCCTTTGCCGAAAGAAAATCGTGCCCACGGGCCCACTCGTCACGGTGCCCGATTCTATCTCGGAGCCCATCATCGAGTGGCTCGACATGAAAGAACCGTCCTCGACTCTCTACATCTCGTTCGGGAGTGAAAGCTACCTCTCGGGGGACCAAATGCGCCAGCTGGCGAAAGGACTCGAGCTGGCCCGGGTCGACTTCATATGGGTCGTCCGATCGCCTGTCGGAATGGAGGATCACCCGGCCGACAATGAGCTCCCCGAGGGGTTCGTCGAGCGCTCGACGGTGACCAGAAGAGGGATGATCCTTCGGGATTGGGCCCCACAGGCGGAGATACTCGCGCACCCGAGCGTCGGGGGTTTCGTGAGCCACTGCGGATGGAGCTCGGTTATAGAGAGCATATACTTTGGGGTCCCAGTTTTGGGGGTCCCGCTCAAGTACGACCAACCACTCAACTGCCGGTTGGTGGTGGAGGCGGGGGTCGGGGTGGAGGTGGGGAGGGGCGAGAACGGGGAGTTTGACGGGGAAAAAGTGGCGAGAGCTATAGAAGAAGTTGTTTTTGGTGGGGAGGGGTTTAGGGTTAGGGTGAGGGAGCTAAGCAAGAAGATGAGGATGGAGGAGGACGAGGGCGATGAGGTGGCAGATGAGCTCAGGAAGTTGATCATTCGTTCGAACATGAAATCGAGCGCGGCCGTTTAATGGAACGGTGCATGGGAAGGTTTGATGGATGCATGTGGAGAGTAAATTGCTCTTTTTATGTGTATTGTGTTGATTGAGAGCTTTGGTTGTGTGAGGGTGGGGTGTACTGTTCTTGTGTTTTGATATATTATGAGTAAGTTCAATAAGTTGGGGAGAATATAATGACTATGGATGTGTATGCTTGTTTTGGATTAGATTCTGTCTGGTTTTGTTGAACTTTGTTCTATTTTTCAACCAAATGTTCGAGGATGATTATAATCATGTTCAAGAATTATTGAAGAAGATAATAGCTCCAGCTCCATTTTGTGGTCATTCAGAATGAATACTTGATCTCAAATAAGTCCGGCTACACTACTAGTACAAAACGGGATGTGATGAACTTATTTAATAAATGAGATATGTTAGTTGTTCGAGTTTAGTTGAGCTCAACTTTTATTTAGTTAAACGAAGTTGAGCTCGAGCTTAATTTCACGTATCAAACCAAATTGTATTAGCGAATAAAGTAGTTTGAATAGTAGTTGTAATAGTTGTTATTAGATGGTAAGTGAATATAACGAAAATGGATTATGAAAAATGAAGTAAAACATAAACAAAATTAAAGTCGATCAGTGATAAGTATGTTCTCCTTGAAATGAGTTTGTCCTATATGAATATGTACCTACGATAGTAGGAAATGTATCCAAAAATATAATAACTCTTAGTTGGTATATAGTTATATTGAAAATATAATAAACATCAGTGAACAATATAAGTGTTCTGAAACTCTCAAGATTCAAAGAAATTAAAAGATTACAAAACGGATATATGTGCTTTATGAAATATACAATTCAAGGCTCTTAAATTGCAAGTGTGTTGAATGATTCACGCATGGTGTATTTATAGATGTAGAAAAATACTTCAACGGGTTTAAAGGTAAAAATGCATCATTCAGAATATAACCGGTGCTGAACCAAAATTGAGTTGGAAACCTTTGGCGCCAACATATGCATTCATACCGCAGGCTGTTTATTGTGTTTTTTGTGCTTCTTTTTATGTATTTTGTGGGCGTAGTTGAGTCGGTTCTAGGTTCGTTTTCTTGATTAACTGGTCCATTTTAGTTGTTTTATGTGTTTTTATGTTTTTCTTTTTGTTTTATGTTTTGGCGTACTTTTATGTTCCTTTTTGGTGCAATTTTTAGGTTTATTTAGAGGACGGAAGAAAAGAATCGAACCAATCCCCGAGACACAAGCATTTTCAAGTGATTCTGAGTATTCCGAGGCTTTGTTGACAATGACGTGTCTCGTGCGCTGCCAGTGCCCACAGCCTCGCGCCTTAGTCCGCACGCGCGCGCGACCGCGTCTGTTTATTGTGTTTTTGTGCTTATTTTCTTGTGTTTTTGTGCCTTAGTCAAGTCTTTTTAGGTTCGTTTTAGTGTTGACCGGTCCATTTTATAGTGTTTCGCGCATTTATATTCTCGTATTGTGTTTTTGTGGTTCGGCTTTTTTTTGTCTTTTTGGTGTTGAATAGGTCCATCATTCTATATTTGGGGAAACAAGCCATTTCTGAGATATTTTCGAGCCGTCCGAACCATGTCCTAGTCACGCGAACCATTTCCAAACCATTCTGAGAGTATTTATTAATTGTGTGGTGACCCTCATTTACACATCTCAAGATGAGGAGGAGAAGATTTGAGAAGCGTCGGTCGAAGTTTCAGGTCAATCGGATAAGTGTGCGAAAAATTAGAGCGAATCAAGCTTCAAGGGGTCACCGGGACCAAGCCCACGACAGTTCAGCACCGAGAACTCGCGCCCGCTAGTCCATAGCCGCGCGCGTGAACATGCCCCAGCCCGCGAAAACCTTTTTCGCGCCTGCAAGAAGGTGCCATTCTGTGAGTGTCGCTTCCCCAACCCGCGAACTCCACTGCTCGCGCCCGCGAACTTGAGCCATCCCGCGAGTGCCCTGCCAGCATCCTCAAGGTGCGAGTACCGAGCCCAGTAGCCGCGAGCTTTACTTCCGCGAGCTCGAGCTGCCTCCTGCCCGCGAGTTCCATCACACTTCAAGCCTGCCCGCGAGTTTTTCTCTTCCGTGCGCGCGAACTTGAGCTATCGTGCGAGTGCCAAGGTGCGTTGCTCCTGCACGCGATTCGAGTGCCCCGCGCCCACGAGTCGTCTGTTACCCGCGAGTCCATGCCTTCCTGCAGCGCTCGCGAATTTTGCTAGAGAAAATCCACCTTTTGCTCGCTAGTTCGAGCTAACCTGCGAGTTCAGATTATTTAATGTGTGTGTTTGTGTGTAGCTATAAAAAGATATTGTGCTTTGTATTTTTGTGAGAATTCCTCATTTGTCAAATTTTTCTTTTTAGTTTTTGCTATCTTCTCTCTTTAGTTTTATTTCTCTTTCTAAGGGCTCCAAGACCCTATTTTTATTGTAATATTTCTCCATCAAGATTACGACTTTTCGGCTTATTTCTTCTTGTGGATACACTAGAGACTTGGAGACTTAGTGGAAGGTCCATGATCTCGTGAGCCTTGTTTGTCTTTACTTATTGGATTTATTCTAGCGTTAACATAGGAGCGTCCATGAGTCGATTATGCTATCATACTCGTAGGCTAGGGATTATGTGATATTGTTATTGATTGCGTTACCTTAATTGCGTGAGCGAGAATTGATTGAGAGATCGATTGATTGATCGGGAGTGACAATTTCTTGATTGCATGTTCCCGAACTTATAAGTGTCTTCCTTCCATTTCGGGTTTAGGAGTACCTTGTTATTTTTCTCTCTATTTTTCTTTTTCTTGCAATTCGAGGTGTTGCTTGCTATTAAGTTTGAATCTTGCTTTCGTTTAGTTTAAAGTTGCCACGTTTAACTTAATCAAACCCCAAATTGCGAGTAGAGTGTTTAGGATTTTTATTTTCTTTTTTTGCGTGAGTCCATCGTTGTTTGAATCTGTGTCCGAATAGCCTTCCTTTGAGAACGACCCGAGTCTGGGTAACTCAGTTACCAACTACCAAAAAGTACTACAAATAGCGTCCCCTTGGCCCGAGAACTTGCAACTGTTTATTGTGTTTTTGTGTTTCTTTTTATGTGTTTTATGTGTGTAGTTGAGTCGGTTTTAGGATTGTTTTCTTGTCTAACCTGTCCATTTTAGTCGTTTCGTGCGTTTTTATGTTTTTGCTTTTTGTTTCATGTTTTGACGTACTTTTTCGTGCTTATTTGGTGTAATTTTCAGGTTTATTTAAAGGACGAAAGAGAAGAGACGAACCTAATCCCGAGAAACAAGCATTTCCAAGGAATCCCGAGTCATTTCCAAGAAGTCTCGACCCATTTTGTACCGAGCTATATTCTATCTGAGTATTTCGAACCCTTTTCGATCGAAGACGTGTCTTGCCCTGCCAGCACTCGCGACCTTGCGACCCAACCTGCGGGCTCACGGACGCGTGTCACAAGTCGCCCAACACTCGCGACCTAGCGCTCCAACCCGTGCTCTCGCGGACGCGCGTCGTCAGTCTCTCGCGACTTGCGGTGAAGCCGGTGATCTCGCGAGTGTCGCGATGCCCGGACTCGCGACCACACACCAGAGTTCGAGTAGCCAGAGAGGAGAGGAGCAGTGGTTGCGTCAATTACGATTGATTCGCAAGAGAGGAGCGAACGAAGCAGAAGAGGTCGAATTTCCTTGCTAGATAGGTCGATTTTTTTTAAGTCGGCCCTCTTCTTTCTCTATTTTGGAGAAAGGAAATTGATCGAAAATTGGGTTGGGAAATGGCAAGTGGCTGAATTGAAAATTTGAGTTGGGGGTAAATTGGTATTTTTTATTTTTTTTTAAGAAAAAAAAATGCCATATTATTTGTGGTAATCAGGTTTTCTTATGGTAAATGGATAATCCGAGTTCTGAAATTTGGGCTTTACCCGACCCAACCCTCTTCATGTGAAAAAAATAAATAAAATGATTTCACAATTATTTATAACTAGTACTGATGTAGCACCAAAAATAACTCGGTGGATATGCCTGGGCGGTTAGCCCGGATAAGGCCGATTCAATGAAGCTCAGAGCCCATTTATGCGATATATGGTATGGGTTAAAGATATTCGGGAAATATTCCTAAAATATATTTAAGTTTGTATATATCCACACAGTGATTTGGGAGAGTTAGACTCCTTGTTGTTAAGGAAACCTTTGTCTTGCGGAGTAAGCCACTAAATCCTTATTAAAGGATTTCAGGTTCATTTTTCTAATTCTAAGCTCTTAAGATTGCTTAAAATACACGATCAAAATATCTGTTTTCTGACTTGAGCGTCGGAGTGTCTACGCCGGGGCCCGCCCCCGGTGCTTTGCAGGTTGATCCGGTTCTTGAAGAAGAAGGAGATCGAGACATTCGAACTCTCGCACCATCGAGATGAGGCGGTTCGATCGACAACCTCAGTGAGTCGTTTATTTTGGCTCATCAAATTGGCGTCGTCTGTGGGGACACCCAAGTTCTACCGAAAGAAGCAACCCAGAATTCACCATCTCATGAAAAAAAAAGAGCGGATTGTAGCAGAAATTCAAAAAAAAATTATGTATTCTCGTGAGATACCCAATGTGTGAGGACAATCCCAATTGCTACAGTAAAGCGAATCTGCGCCCAATTATCCTCCTTTTGTGTAAAAAGAAAAAAAAAATAGAGGAAATGGACCGCCACGCTGCCCCGACGTCGAATCACCAGGTCGACGCGCTGCCCCGAGACTCGACCACTGCCGCTGCCCAATTCTTGGAACGACGGACCCGTCTGCAGCCGGAGCTTCCCGCAACCGTGAACTGAAGAGAAGGATCGAGGAAAAGAATCGTCGGGCGGCTCCATAGCCGGATTGCCGCACTGTTCTTAGATCATTATTTGTCGTTCAGGAACAAAGACCGTCGACGCCACCTACAACTGAGGTCTGCGGCCAGGTTTGGTGCAGGGTGAGGAGGATGGCGATTGTCGTACAATGATCTAATTTGGGCCAAGAGTTAGCTTCAAGTAAAAGTTGCTGGTCACGGAAGT